AAGAAGAAGAAAACTAAAAATAAGAACATGGAGTTCTTTTTATTTTTATTCAATTTTTTTAATTTCAACCATGGGAAATGTATGAAATAGTATTTTTTAATAGACATATAAATTAAAAATGTATTTCTTGTCTTTTTATTTACTTAAAATGTAATTAGTATAAATCTAACGATAATAATAATTAAAATGTAATTAAAGTATTTCTGTTAATAATTTTCTAATTGTACAAAGAGGTAAGTGTTATTAAATGAAGGTATACTTAATTTATGAAAAAAATTATTATATTCAATATGATCTGTTATGAAAAAATGTAAACTATTTATAATTATATATTTTTCAATAATTATACGGCGTGTTTTTGACCGAGACTAGAGGTTGAACTTGAATGATACCGTACATAATGAACGACTGCGCGCTCACCGCCCTCTATCTCAAAAACGGTTTGAGGTACAAAAAATTTTTTGAAACAAAAGTTGTAGAGAATTTTATCCTCTACAATAGTTATGGTAAATACAAATAGCGTAAATGTGAAAGGGAACGAGATATTTGCAAAAAATGCACAAAAAAATCGATTTTTTTACCTTTGACCTCAGTTATCTACAAGTCGTGCACATGCTATCATATATGTAGGTTTTGAGAAAAAAATAAAAAACCTTAATATCGTTACATGGCTAATTTTTTGTGTGAAGCATCCTTTGGTGTAGCCATTGTGAAATAGTCATGTCTGCCAGCGCGATTCCGGGGCTTAAAGCCGGCCAATCTAAAGGGTGACACTAAAAAATTTTGACACTAAAAATATTATAGGTACACGAGTTATAATTGCCAAATAGCTTTTATTTATTATTAGGAAACGTGTAAAATTGTTGACAGACATTTTTCTCGTGGCTGAAATGCCGACAGACAACGCGAAAGAGGCATAAAATTTTGACAAAGGAAAATCATCGCATACATGCATGTCGATTGGTGGAATGTCATGTTTATTGTTAATTAATTAAAAAGCCGTATGCAAAAGGGCAGACAAAAAATCGTTATTGAAATAATAAAAAAATATATTTATAATATAATCGTATATTATATTATTTATCTATACTTAAATGGATGAGGCGGCCAGCGTTCCCTGAATAAAGCGCTAGAGTAATATGGCGCTTTTGATAACTGTCTGCAGCTGATTGAGCCACGATCTTTTTGTCTGCCCTTTTGCATACGGCTTTTAAAATAAATAAATATGACATTTCACCAATCATCATTCAAATATGCCATATTTTTTTTCATTGTTCAAATTTCATTTTTTAATAATTTTTAAAATTTCATGCCTCTTTCGCGTTTTTTCCTCGGTAGTTTTATACAAGTACGGACAAAAAGTTATTACGCTTCAAAACAGTTAAAACACACGTAGGTAGCGCCCTCTACCAGTAGGAGTCATATTGACATCAAAATCAAATTTCTCATGTCAAAAAACTCCTAGACACCAATTTTCATCCAAATATGTTTCTTCAGAAATTATTTGGAAAAAATAGAAATAAAAATAAAACTTCTACACCCTATATCTCTAAAACTAAGCATTTTCGGACATACATTTATATGAACTTTTTTACTTATTTTTATCTGTAGAATATGCTGCCAAAGTTTCCGGAATACAGTGCGGACCACCCTGTATAAAAGAAAATGACATTCTGAATAGAATAACATATCATATGTCAATTTTTAGCATGTTCAATTTAAAAAAATAGCATTTTAAACTTCACTCTAGAGTCTCATGGCCATAAATGTAACCAAATACATGGTACTCGAAATACCAAGTATGTGGTACCAAATTATTCGTAAAAATCTATTAGTATATGATTTGGGCATCTCTTAAATAGCCAAGAAAAGACACGAAAAACACTAGAAAACCAAATATATTTTTCCAAAGCCCTTTGATTAAAAATTAATGGTTTTAACAAACAAAGCCATGGCACTCTAGATTGAAATTTAAAATACATTTTTTTAATTAAAAATGTTCAAAGTTGACATCTATTCAGAACGTCATTTTCTATGATATAAAGTAAAAAAATACCGATGGCACTATTTAAAAAATCAAAAGTTGTAGTATTTTCCGGTAAAGCAGGAGGTGACCGAGACTAATTGAATACCGTCAATTAATCCCGATTTATTTCATATACTAACATACCAAATTTCGTTTTTTTTTTATCTGAAAAAATAAAAAAAAGTTTGGGTGAGCCACTTGTGAAAAACACCCGGTATTAGCCATTTTAAACATTATTCTTAAAGTTATTATGGGGTTCAAATATTCGAACTTCTTTAATTCTTTTTTAATACGCTATAACAGATTAGACATGTTAAAGTTAATAACATGTCTAAATTAACATATTCTTGATTAAAACTTATAGTATTCATTTTTCACTTATTTATTTATGAGTTCTAATCGAACAACCATCTATGGATTTCATAAAATTAATTATAAACAACTTATAACATCACTAACATGACATTAATTATAAACAATTAACTATAAAAACAGATTAATAAAAAAATCTGTAACTACATATAGTACGAGAGCTAGCAACGTCGGAAAAACAAGTATTTTAAGACGTCTGGCTCTTTGATATATCTTTTACTATGCTCTCTAGAACAGCATGCGGCCCGTCTGGCTGCCGGTAAACGTTGCGTTCCCTACTGCGCATTGAGAGAAGATCCTATATTTTTATTAGTCCCTTAAATTCTAGTATTGAATATAAATCGAACATGTCTCCATAGCGCAGTGAAAGCAGCAAAACGAAAATAAAATAAAAGAGTCTTTGCCCTAACCCGGATTCGAACTCTGAATCATCGGTTCGTGGTCGGAAACTCTACGCACTGCGCCATGGAAACATGTTCGATTTATATTCAATACTAGAATTTATAGGACTAAATTAATAAAAAATATAGGATCTTCTTCCGATGCGCAGTAGTGAACGCAACGGGTATCGGCAGCCATACGGGCCGCATGCTGTTCCAGAGAGCATAGTAAAAGATATATCAAAGAGCCAGACGTCTTAAAATACTTTCTCGAAAACGTTGCTAGCTCTTAGACTATATATGGTTATTATTAATTTTGATTAACGTCATTGCTATTATTCCCATTTTATTCAAAGAAGCACAAAATCTATAATATCATTATTCATAATTCATATTAATTAGGTATATTAATTTTGTGCTTCTTTAACATATTAAAAAAACAAGAGATATGACGTTAATCAAAATTAATAATCCCCATCTGCCAAAGAATCGAAACCTAAAAATGTTATTAGCATTGTGATTTTTGAAACTTAGAAAAAATTAACTATATTTTCATATACAGAGTGTTTCAAAAAACATGTGCCATCTCTCGTGAGGAGTTTCTCACGTAAAAATAAAATTTATTTTTCATATCCACATAGGTCCGATACTGCTTTGTTTCGTAGCTACAGGGTGTTAAAGACTTAATATTTTTCCGATTTATTATAATTTTCTTCCAAGTATACTTTTAGCGTTTCGAATGAAATATTTACGGTAAAAATTACTATAAATGCGACATATTTTCAAGCTAAAAAAGTGTCGACATATTCACCAGGGACGTGCATATGAGTTATTACTGGAATATTTTTCTGAAAAAATTATGTACGCCGACTTTTTTTCTAGCTAAATAGTGTAACCAGTTTAATGCCGATTAAAAGTTGTCTCTTGATATTTTGTCGATTTCGGGCTCCTTGATGAGATAAACGCAATTTTATTAATATACCTTGATCCAAGTCTAATAGCAACATTTAAAAAAGTTAATATCATTATCTTGTGAAAATTTTAAATAAGCACTCATTGATTCCTCATCAAAAAATATGAAAAAAAGTTCCTATAAACATGGGTATGGAAATGCATAGTTTCGAGTTAGAGGATTTTAAAGCTTTTTAAAATTAGGTTTTTTGCAATTAACTTAAATACCATATTTTTTTTATTTGAAATGGCTGTAGGTTGGACTACTAATAGTAATAACATTTCATAATAAATTAGGTAAAATATATAATTTATTAATTTTATTTTTATTTTAATTTTATTAATTGAGATGAATAAAATTGCGTTTATATCATCAAGGAGACCAAATTCGACAAAATATCAAGAAATAATATTTTTAATTGGCATTAACCGGCCCACACAATTTTAATATCAAAAGAAAAAAGTCAGTAGCGCACATGTTTTTTTTAAATTATTACTACAGTGATAACCCCCTGATGAACTTTTTTAGCAACTAAATATGTAGCACTTAAACTTAAAGCAACTTTTACCCTCAAAATTTCATTCGAATCACTAAAAGTGCTTGGAAGAAAATTATAATAAATCGATTAAGATAAAAGATTATTTATTAAGACTTTAAAACCCTGTAGCTACGAAACAAAGCAGAATCGGACCTATGTTGATATGAAAAATTAATCTTATTTTGACGTGAGGAATCTTAAATCTTATTTTGACATGTGCCATCTCTCGTGGCCCACGAGAGATGGCACATGTTTTTTGAAACACCTTGTATTTTTTGAATTTTTCTTTGGGTATGAAAACTTGAAAAAGTATAAACGAGATTTGCCATTTTAGAACAAACAATTTTTTTTATGAAGAATTCATTTTTCGCAAAAAGTTAATAATAAAAAAGTTTTTCCTTTTGTAAAGACAATCCAAGGACATACTGTATATTTAAATAAAATCAAAGTAGATTCGTTTCTCTCACGGGAGAGAGGAAATTAAATAAAAATTCATACGCTTGCAAAAACAATTTATCGGAACGATACCGACCTAAAAATAAACCAACTAATGTCTAAGTGTTTGTTGTTGTTTCCTCTTCGGTCTTATATATTTATTTGCATTTTACCCATTTTCAAGAACGAAATTCAGTTAAAAATATATTATTTAACATTGGAAAATGTAAAAATCAATAAACACTGACCATCTACAACCTTAAAAACAAGCATACAGAAAAATAAACGCTTAAATACCTTGCTGTAAACAGAGTTCATCGTTTCTGTTGCCATTGCGTTTCATTTTCCGACCGTACGGCACATTTCTGGATGTGGAACACGTTAAAATTTGACTTGCGGCGGATCAATCGTTCAGTTTCACCCGACGCTCGCCCAACAAACACTTCCTTTGGAATGGGCGGCGAAGCACAGGGTGGCGAGGTTATGGCATTGCCGTCGCAAGTCTGGCAACCGGCAGGATCGGACTCTAAACCGCTCTATTTAAAAAATCTGTACGTCGGAAAAAGATACAAAATATGGCTTATTGATACTCGGTTTACTAATCCAATATTTTTTACGTTAAATAATATTTATAACATTAAAAAGCTTACATCAAACCACAGTATAAGTGTAAAAAAGGCGCGATAAAAATGATTACATGATATACAAATTCACGAAAAAAAGATATCCTATCAAAATTCCAAGTCTCGCAACACAATTATTCTTGCACTGTAAAAAGTTGTGAGATCTCATGTAAAACCGAGTCAGTTTATTTTATTTAGTCTCTCTTTAAGAACCTATTCAACAGTTTTGTTATAAATTGTTAGTATCAATATTAGTCATCTTCATTTCTGTAATAATTATAATGACTTGGGAATTGCACGATATGATATTCTATTCTAATTTAAAAACTTTATTTTTAAGGACACTGTTTAGATTTACTTAGTAATCGAGATGGTAGATTATTCTTTTATAATTATTTTGGTGCGGTATAAGAGATAGGTTAGTATAATAACAAAATTATGAGATATGAGAGTAGTTTCGAAAAATGTAATAATATACTGGGTGTTCCATTTAAAATAACAAAGATGCTACCACTTTTCAAATGATCCGGCAACACTGTAACGCTGATAATATTTTAGATAGATGGAGCAAGTGCCTTTATATAAAAATCCAAATTTTCAAAACAATCTTATCACCGGTCCTCCTATTACCATAGCCGAAAAGCCGGTTACCGATAACGACTAGACAGCTAACTTTTGGTCCATAATGATATTTCGAGATTTTTCATTTGCCTTAGAATTTTGATGATCTGTCAGTGAGTCAATGTCGAAATTAAAGAAATTTGACCAGGGATAATTCACAAACTATTGAGTATAATTCTAGATATTTTGGTAACCTAAAACGTTGACAAATCAAGCAACACAAACAAATTGCGAGGAAGATGACGACATCCTTTGTCCAATTTAAAATCCTTTTTAAATAGAAATGAATGTAATAGAAGAGATGTACTACAGAATTTCTGTGGAAGTCTCTATACTGGTAGCAGTAATGTATTTTCAATGGCCTATGTTGCTGGCTCTTAAGGATTTTTTTGAAATAAATTAATCGTGAATTTCAATAGTTCAACTCCACAATATTTTGTCAGCAGTAAAGAATGGACAGATTCCAAAAATTCCTTAATTTATCCCAGCCAATATTTCACTGTTACTGTTGGAAGGGGCATAAGAACACTGGAATTATTTCTCAATAAATATGCATCAGAAAAAAAGTACTAGACCATGTCTAGCGGTATTTATAACAAAACTTTTTTTGAATCGATAATGTGTGAGAGTCATAAAGATTTAATTTCACACCTGACAATAAAGTTCCTTTCCAAAATTGGTATCTCATGATGGTGTTAAAGGTTATGTGTTTTATAAAGTTTGTTGTTGATACTTGTTTATAATATCCGGATAACATCGCTAATTCGGCGATAGCTATTCCGGTTTGTGTCTGGATTATCGAAGTTCTACTGTACCTATAAAATATAAGAAATGTGGGGGTGAATTAAACATTATATTCTTTTCAGATAATTGTGCTGGTCAAAATAAACAAATTAATTGTCATTGCCACGTTCATCCAGGACATAGTAATAATAATAATTTTTAGATTTTAAGAAAAATAACATTTATAATTATTATGCGAACACAGATCTCTTACGTCAGGAATTTGGGTTGATTACACTTGAGCAGCGTCGCACTTGTGATGACGTTTGCTTTTTACATAAATTAATCAACAGTAAATACGATGTTTGAATTTTGCTGGAAAAAGTTAATTTTAACATTCCCCCAGCGTAATTTTAGAGGAAATATTTGTTTTCTAAGAACTTTTACAATACTAATATAGGTAAGAATACACCACCATTCCTACATAGACATTTTTATTGTATCCTTTCCAGTATTTAAGAGTCGAGTCAAGAGAAACATTACTAATTTTTCTAATGATGCTTAAGTAATTGCAATATGGATATTAAGTTTTTTTTTCTTTTTTTAGAATTTAAGGTTTAGTAATTAAGTATTATAAAATTGTGTTGATTTGTATACTACACTATTGTGAACTGAGGTGATATTGGGTCTTGGACCTGTTTGGAATCCTTTAGTCTTAAATATTGTATATATTGATGAGAATAAAAACCACTTAAATTAAATTAAATTAAATGGACACCTTATTCGATAATTTAAATAGTAGAACTAATAATGTACCTGAAGGAAAAAGCCTTCGTTTTGCTATTAGTAAGTATTCAAAGCACTTAGATTATTGGGACGCAACATTTAGTAAACTCAGCAGCTGGACGTTCAAGAGGATAAATAAAAGTGGTGTAATCAAATCTTCTAAGCTACCCTCTCAAACAGGATGGTTCACGTCACTAAATGATATTAGAAGAGTATGGATTTATATGCAAACCAAGGGTGTTAGAACATTGCGACCTAGATCCTTAAATCAGGGTCCTTTGGAGAATTTATTTGCTTCAATATGGTATGACTATGGTTGTAATGACAATCCAAATTACAAGCAGTTTATTGGCAGCCTTAAAACACAGTTACTGAATGGTTTGACAAATGAATCAACACAAACAAATTGCATGGAAGATAACAATATCCTTTTGTCCCATTTAAAGAAGAAGACAATCCACAAGAGACAGAACATACTATCTTTGAGGCAGTTATAGAAATGAACGTAATAGAAGAGATGTCCTACAGAATTTCTGTGGAAGTCTCTACTGGTAGCAGTAATGCATTTTCAATTTTTGCACTATTATGTATTACCAACATTTTTTAATGTAGCTATTCAGTTTTTATATTTTTATTATCTGAAATAGTTTTTCGAAAGAGTGATGAACTGAGTAAATTTATATTCTGGTATTTTTCATTAATAAAGGTAAATTTATTTATTTATCTTGTATGATTTGAAAATCATAGCGAATTCATCGACCTAACTTTTTTATTTCGTTTACTAGATGACAAACTAAAAATGCTGATAATGTAAAATTGTGAACTGAATTCGTTCCGATCTAAATATTAGAGATCAAAAATAAAAATATATAGTACGCATACGATAATCTGCATTTTTGGTTTACAATCAATGCTATGTTGCTATAGTTAATCTCAAGTTTGTTAAGTAAAGTTTTGGATATGTTTGTAAACAAAACACCTTGAAAATATCCTAGGGCTCAACTAAAATGTAAACCAAAAGCCTTGAAGATAACATCCTTTAGTATTTTAACAGACTTGCACGGCAACTTTGAATGGTCGAGGTAAAAGGTGGTGAAGGCATTCTTAGAAAAACCAAACGAGTAAGAGACTTCGATAGTGTTATCCTAAATCTGGTGTTCAGACAGTCTGTTTTTCGTATTCAGTAAAAACCTATACGAAAAAAAAAGTCACAAGGTTGCAGTAATTAATCACCCCTCCCACTCATTCTACATTATACTTTTGTTTGCTGCAGTACAAGCATGTTATGTAGTGATTTCCCTTTAAAAAAAAATAGAAGAAAATAAGATGGTCGAAGCAGTCTCTATATAAAAGCAGATCTCAGCAGATCGTTGATATGCTGAAGAAACCATACGGTAAATTCAATAACTTCTTCAGGATGAGTTATGAAAACTTTGAGTTGCTGTTGAGTGCAATTGGTCCCCAAATCCAAAAAAATAATACATTTAGATTATTCATTCCAGCAAAAGAAAGATTAGCTGTTACCTTAAGATATCTAGCATCAGGGGACTAAGTTTTCTGTTTAAATCAAATCACTAAGTTTTCTGTTTACAAAGACTAAGTTTTCTGTTTAAAATTTTTCCCCAAATAATATCTCTGCCAGAACTACTGATCTCAAGCTTGAGGTACAAGTCACAAAACCTTTGCTTTAGTGATGGGTTTCCCAATATCAGCATTGGAGATCTTGATAGTTATAACAAGAGTTTGGAACATAACAAGAGTTTAGAACATTTCATCAAAGATAGCTACGCATTAACCACTCCTGAGTACACTAGCAACGGTGCAAGTGAGGTCCCAACATCAAATATTGAATTCGACGATTGAGGTTCTTCAGAACATATTAGTAGAGGGAGAAGGGGGTTTCTGCATCAGGAGCAGGAGCAGAGCGCACGGCGCATGCGCGAGGAGGAGGGGTACAGCGCAGGCGCGAGGAGGAGGGGAGCTGTCAAACGTCAAATGTCAAATGTTAAACGTCAAACGTCATCTGTCAAACCTGTCATCTGTCAAACGTCAAACGTCATATGTCAAACGTCATATGTCAAACATCAAACGTCAAACCTGTCTTACGTCATCTGTCAATCGTCAAACCTGTCTTACGTCATCTGTCAAACGTCAAATGTCAAACCCGTCAAACGTCATATGTCAAACATCATCTGTCAAACGTCAAATGTCATCTGTCAAACGTCAAACCTGTCTTATGTCATCTGTCAAACGTCAAACCTGTCTTACGTCATACCTATTATATACAGGGTGTTAATGAAAAACAAATGCAAATTTTTAATATTTATTTAAAGTATGCAACACATTTACTTTTTGATATTTTGGCGCAGGTACTAAATACTATTATAGCAGATGATATAAACGTCATAATTATATACAAAAATAGAACTATATATGAAATCACTGTAGGTTCTTCCTTATCCTTTTTACACGTCTGATTTTTCATAGTTGAACTATCGTTAAAATTGATGGGTAGCATCTGCCAATCAGATTGATCTCCAACACTTCTATTTGAAAAGATTACCCTTATTTTATATTTTATGTTCGTCTTATTCCTAGTCTCTTCTTCCGATAATGGACGTTTGAAAACTTCCACCGATCCGTTATTGCTATATTCCAATCTCTGCCAAGCTTCTGGGCCATTTACACTCCGTTGTAGTATCATTGTTTTTTAACATACGAAAGCTTCAATAACATCTTTCGGTTTATTTATATAGAATGTATTTTGCACTATAACGGCAAATATAATAAAAGCTGAACTTAACGCCGCCATGTCTGGATACTGAATGACTGTTTAGCTATGTTGACGAAGAACATATAAACAATCTCGACATCTTGCTTGAGAAGGGGGAGGACCGTCAATATGAGTCACTTGATCAGGTTGTAGTGAATAAAACATGGCAATTGCGTTTGCAAATAGAAATTATTTTTGTATTCAATAGGAAGTCGAGACCATATATTTAAAAGCGTATAGGGGCTAATATGCTCTGCTAGAAATTCTACAGAGAGAGCTTTTAACTCCTCTGTAGTATATTTTGTCAAATCCAAATACATGTTTGCTTTTCAAGTGGTTAAATAATACTAAAGAATAAAACGCTAATTATTATTTTTATACATTTATTCACAACAGTTACAAGGTGCTATTTTTACAAGTAACTCTAACCTATAATTAGCAATAAACTTTTGATTTAAAAAATTATGCGTATATCGTAGGGCGAGTCATCCAATCACATCATTTAGTATGTTTATGGGAGATCTTCAATTCTAGAAGTTTCGAAAACATATACTGTTTCTCTTCGTAAAATTTTATAAGTTCTTTTAATTGTAGTAAATTAACCAAATGTTTCTCTAGTAAAAAATTTATATCTTCGGTAGACATCTTTCTCCTTTTACACATATTTACTTTTCAAGTGTTTAAATAATACTAAAAAATAAAGCGTTAAATTATTATTTCTATACATTTATTCACAAGAGGTAAATACACATATGAGTTGAAAATCATTTTCGAGTTTATTTGGATTAATTTCTAGAAATTCCAACATATAATATGATAATTCACAAACATTTAAATAACAATATTTTTTAATTTCTTCCAAACACTTTTCTTCAGAGACATTACAAGCTCTAATATAATGTAAAAGATTATCGTAAAAAGGTCTTAAGTCTAATTTTACAAGTAACTCTAACCTATAATTAACAATAAACTTTTGATTTAAAATTAATCGAATGTCTTCCATAGTGAAACAAAACGGTACATCCAAGCACATCACTGTAATTATCCACTCTTCTAAGAATTTGCTTGCTTTAACGGTGAAATTTTCAGATAGGGCTTGAACAGTTTTTTCCATTTTCTCATTGTCAGGTACCAAAATAAATGATGATGCAATGTTCAAAAACTCGAACCAATCCGTATCGTCAAATGATATTATCATTAGTTCATTGGGTAGGTTGAATAATTTGTTCACAATTTTAACTGATGGTACCAATCCTCTCGCGATACTTATTCCAGCAACAATATCAAAGTTCTTCGTGGGATAACACGTTTCAGCCAACAATCTACGTTCTTTCTTGATTTCCATATTACTTCGTAAAACCATACTGTTTAGATACTCGAAATAATCTGGTGGGGAACATGATGAATTTGAGGCTATGTCTAACGCTTCCATCTCGACATACGCACAAACCGGTGTCTTGACGATTACTAATTGACCGTATACGTTTTATTTCCTTCCCCTACCACCAAACTAATTTATTTGTTTAAACTTGTTTATATTCAATTCTAAAAATAGAATCTTACGTAACGACCAGCCGCTATCTCTTTCCTGGAAAGCACCAGATTTCGTCACTAAGACTTGTTTAAACTCGTTGAATACTTCCTCCAGATTTGTATTTTCGTAAACAACATCATATCGGGAATTAAACGATTTAATATCTTCTTTCGTTTCAGACCCTAATATATAGGAACAAAATAATTCCATATTGAATTTGATGGAGGTATGAATCGATATATGTTCCTGAAGTAAACGTACAATAGTATCTTTAAGAGCATCTAAATAAAGGATAATATTATTCGGATGTGATTCAGAGGTTATCCTATAAGATTTAATTCGATTTTTAAAAGCACACCTAACAAGCTGAAGTCCAGGTTCTAATTCTACACAACACTGATTTTTATGTTGATGACTTAAACAGTGGAAATTACACTCCTTACACAATGAATGCATTTTGAATACTGAAGAGGTTTAGACAATGTCTTTACTTTTATCAATCCAACTATTATGTGATTTGTCGAATCCTAACCACTTGACTAGAATTTTATTTCCTTTCTTTTTCAACACTTGCTCTACAAGATAGATTTCAGGTTGTTTAGTTTTCTGTAATTCTTCTTCGTAAAATCCACCGCTGATGGGATTACCTTGATAATCTTCTAAAAGGTACGTTACAGGGTTTGTGATTTTTACTTTAGATACTTTGAAAAGCTCAGTAGTCCAATTTGGCGTATATCCCTTTTCAAAAAGATGTTTCTGTTTTGAGATTCTAACGGTATCGCCAACTTTAAATTTTGATTTTCCCGCTACCTTAATATGACTATAAACGCCATCTAGTAGTTTCTTCTCACTATTACTATCCACATTCTTCGGTTTCATTCCAATGGTTCTGTGTTTCGTATCGTTATAGTCTTCTGTAACTTTATTTAGTAATTCCAGCCATTTATGGTTCCCATTCAACGTAAACGATCTAAACAATTTTTCCTTAATAGTGCAAATTACACGTTCAGCTATAGAGGCTTTCAAAGGACTAAAAGTACTGTAGTGTTGGATCTTGTATTTTTTCATCAAATTTTGAAACTGACTGTTGTAATACTTTTGCCATTATCCGACACCAACTTTTAGGAATTCTGTTTGAAGATTTCAATATGATTTCCATGGCCTTAGTAATGTCTGGTGCAGATTTTGATTTTACAGGTTTTGCCCATAGATATTTGGAAAAACAATCAATCACAACCAAGATATATTTATAGCCCTTATTCTCTCGAGAATATTGATCTAATTGAGCAAGATCGGTGGCAGAAGTATCATCTAAACCATACTGAATAAATCTTCGTCTTTTGAATTTAATACGAGCGGGTTTATGAAGTTCCCTAACGACTTGTTCTCTAGGACCCATCGCTTTGTCTAACGAAATAGTGCTGGTATATGTGTATTTATATTTATTTTGGGTTAGAATTTTTTTTACTTAATAATAAATCTTCAAGGACACCTTTTACATCACCCAAATCGTTTGATAAATCGTCTATTTTCTGGTTTGTTATTGTCTTAAACGAATCAAGCGCTCTCAGATATTGTGCTGCTATATCCGTATCAATATTCTGTATATCATGCTCAATGTTTGATAGTTTAGAATTGATACTATCCAGTTCTAGACGTTTAGCCTTATTGGATTTTTCAATCACCGTATCTGTATAATTCTTTATCGCACTTTCCAACATATCAAGATCTATATACAGTTTCTTGACTATCATCCTCTATAGTTCCAAATTTCTTATCCATATCCGTTAGTCTTGTTGAAATTTTTGAAAACGTCACCTGCAAGTCTATCTCTAACGCCTCTAATCTTTCGGTAAGAACACTGTTAAATGCGTTTATTGTTTCCATAGAACGAGCTTGAACTTTTATCTCTTCGCGGACTTTCCCTGCTAGCTCATCAGTATATCGTTTAGTCGATACATCGCTCTCTTCTGTAGGGTCTTCAACATTAGTTATTTTTCGATTTTCAAAATCATAATCTCCTTCAGGTGTGTGGGAAAATTCAGGTTGAGGGTGTACTAACCTTCGCTTGGAAGATAAAGACCATCCGAACTTGTTCATGGTTGAAATAATAATGCTAAATATCTAGTATAACACTTTATTTATAGGTTCAACTACACCTAGTTCTAACAATTCTTCAAGAATACTCATTATTTCATTCGTATGGTTTCCGTTTCCTGCTGTTTGAGAGGCATCCAGTTTACTTAATCTATCCACCAACTCGTTGACGTCATCATAATAAATATATTCTTTAGGTTTTTCATTATACTCAAGTAGTGCGGATCCAGATTTAGTTTGCGATCTGGTTTTAGGGATTTTCTGTGCTATATTGCTGGCTGATGAATGCCTAAGTCTTGAACCTTCAAGCGAAGCCGAAGATGCAGCTGTAATCAATGGTTTAACGAAATCCCTATATTTCACAGATTTACTACCTCTCAATTGTCCCAATGGACTAAAATCTCTTTTGTGAACGTTGGTTTGCTTCAATATTTTCTGAAATTGAACTCTATCGTTTTCAGTAAAGTGCATAGGTTTCTTTAGAAATAACAATTCATATAAACCACGATTTCCTTTGTAAATAGAATCGCCTACTCGTATATCACCATTTTGAAGAAAATCCACTTTTTCCGTCCCCATTTTCCAAGTTTCAGTTGGTGCATTATGTTGTAAACCATACGTATGATCTATTTCATCGGAATCTATAAAGTACTTATCGATAAATTCATGTGCTATTTTTGGATACTGATCCAAGTAGCTCTTGTACACTTCAGTTTGTTCTAGAATTGATTTTTGAAGATCTTCGTTAGCATCTTTAAATGCTTGTAGTGATTGTACTTCCATAAAAACATTATCATCATCATCATTATCACTGTTTCCAGACTTCTCCGCAATCATTTCAGTCGGCTGGAATTCAACATACTTTTGAGAACTGCGTTCAGGTTTCGGCTGTTTCTTTATCGATGATGGTGGTGTTATCTTTTCCATCTTTACAATTTCCTCTTCCTTGTTCTTTATTGTTCTGTCTGCGAGTTTATTTAAGGGTATAGTTATAGGTCCCAATATTCTATTTAGAGCTTCATCTCCCTCATCACGTTCTAATTTCAAGGCTAGATGTTTTTTTCGTATATGTCTAGCAGCATTTATAATCTTTCTCTGAACTTCTCGCTCATCTTTTGTTAATATCTTAGGCATTTCGAACCCGATCTGTTGCAATCAGGTCTGTTTCAATCAGAGCCGTTCCAATCGGGTCTGTTACAATCAGGTCCGTTCAATCGGGTCTGTTTCAATCGGGTCTGTTGCAATCGGGTCTGTTTCAATCAGGGCTGTTGCATTCAGGTCTGTTTCAATCGGGTCTGTTTCAATCAGGTCTGTTTCAATCGGATCGTCTGATACTAGGTGTATCCTCGACCAAGGGTTCTTACATACTAACCATTAAACTATGTTTATGGTATTATATAGGTATTAAATCTGCTTCGGTAACGGCCTTTGTGAATATCACAGTCTTTAACAATAACAAGAAATCCATATTTGTCTTTCCAACATTCAGAACATATATCCTTAAACGTGTTTATCGACATGTCTGTATTTACGTGATCATCATACACATGCCTGAGATTAGTATCATCTTGCTTGAAAAGTATCAACATATTAGCATTATCTCGAACCAATTGTTTAGGGATCTTTGAATAGGTCTGACAGAGGTAAAACGAGTCGATTGCATTGTGACGACCCATGCAAAAATAATTTCTAATTTTATCTTGTTTCTCACAAGCTACATCATCGAATATGAAGACAGAGTCGGGTTTGGCGTTTACGGGATCTAATACACCATCATTATCGCTGTATCCGTAGTAATTAACACCTTTAATACGATCCAAAACCTGTTGCAAAAATGTGTATTTGTCTTGAAAGAGAGACTTTGAGTAAACATACACGTTCTCGAACCGAAGTCCGTTTGGATCTGTTAAAAGACTTAACATCACATTCGTTTTTCCTGAATTACTGGGGCCACAGATTATAGCCCTTATAGTATTTGGTAATAGATCGCTATGTCGATTTCTAGCATCACCCTGTGCGATATCGAAATTACAAACATCAATATCGATTTTCTGTTTAACTTTTCTCATTTTTTTCACATATATATATGATGTTTATTCGATCACGTCTTCAGTTGTAATGAGAAGGTCAAAGGGTAAAGGTCTCTTAAATAGGGCTATCAATAAATTACCATTTGAACTTCATTTACCTGGTTACCAATATTGTGGTGGAACAAAGCTTGCTAAACGATTAGCTAGAGGAGATCCAGGCATAAACGAATTAGATCGAGCGTGTAAGGAGCACGATATCGCATACTCGAAAGAAAAGGATTTGAATCGACGATATCAAGCCGATAAAGTGTTGGAAAAAGCGTGGGAAAGAGTTAAAGCTTTGGATTCTAATATCGGAGAAAAAAGTGCTGCGTGGCTTATTACAAACGCAATGAAAACAAAACGAAAGCTTGGTATGGGTGTTAAACGAAAACCCTTCAAATCTTTTATTGTTAATAAAGTGAAGAGACATATTAAACATTATGGTAATGGCACCCTCAAGGATAATATTAAACTAGCACTGAGAGCAGCTCGCATGAGTGTTAAACAAAGCTGGTGGAAGAAGAAAAGTTAAAGTACCTAGAGTTATACCAGTACCTAAAGTCGGAGGCATTTTACCTCTTATTCCGCTCTTCGCGGGTCTAAGTGCTTTGGGAGCTCTTACCGGAGGTGCTGCCTCTGTCGCTAAAGCTGTTCAAGATAGCCGAGCGGCAAGAGATAAATTAAAGGAATCTCAACGACACAATGAGACCATGGAAGCCATTGCGTTGGGTAAAAGAGGAAGCGGATTATACCTTGCCAAACACAAGACAGGATATGGATTATTTCTTCAGAAGCAATCACCAAAAAACTTCCAATAAAGCTACCCAATCGACCTTTGTCTAACCTAGATATACAGAAATATGTAAAGAAATTAAAAATTGCCAACTTCAGAGGAGTATTTATGCGAAATACTCTACCACAAACACCTAGAACGAACGAGTGCGGTGTTGTAAATTTAGACGAGATTGAAGGAGATGGAACTCATTGGGTAGCATATAGAAAAACGAGGGATAAAGTTGTGTATTTTGATAGTTTTGGAAATTTAAACCCACCAAAAGAAATTGTTCGATATTTCAAGAAATGTAAAATATATTATAATTACGACCAGTATCAAACATATAATACTTACAATTGTGGTCATCTTGCATTGTCCTTTCTCTATAATAATAAATAGTTATAAAAGAACATGTGTTTTAATTCCAAACTCAGTCATGTCTCAGACATTCACACTGAAAGGTCGTTCTAGCTGTTTAAGCGTGTACATTAATCCTCCAATAGAACTCGATTCTAGATACAGTTATTCTCTAGCTCTGATATCTCTCAGTACCTGGAATTCAATACCGAATATCGAACCAGGCCGAAATAAGTTTCATTATTCTGTAGACGGTATAAAGCAAATAATTGAAATTCCAACAGGATCTTACGAGATTACCGATATTGAAGAGTATTTGCAAAAAGAGCTAAGTTCTAAGAGTAAAACCGTTATAAAGTTACACCCTAATAATAATACACTAAAGTGTGAAATAAAGTGTATCTACGATATAGATTTTCAACCTGAAGACAGTATTGGAAAAAATATTAGATTTTCACCGCAAGTTTTAGCTGCCAACAAATTGCACAAATCAGATATACCTGTGGAAATTTTTCCTGTGGTAACAATACGTATCGAATGCAATATCATATCTGGATCGTATTACATTAATAATCCATCTCATACACTGTACGAGTTTAGTCCTAGCGTAGATCCTGGCTATAGTATAATTATCGAACCCAGAAATCTAATCTACCTTCCAGTAAATAGAAATTTTATTGATAACATTACATTGGATATATTAGATCAGGAATCAAGACCGGTCAACTTTAGAGGTGAAGACATTGTTATACGGTTGGAGCTTAAAAAGAATGGGTTTAACTTTTAAACCTTACTATTTAAATATCAGATCACAGAGCAATCAATCAGTTAGTACTTGTACGCCAAAGCAGACGCTCACGTCCAAGCGCATACTTCAGCTTCACCATATTATCAGTAAATATGGACTCCGTATCAGAAAAACTACAAATATTCCAACCGGTCAACGTAGATGAATCCATTGCTCGAGAAGAATGGCATACGTATCACCCGTTCACCAAATCATTTAAGAACAGCGATGAGATAGAAATTGTTATTAATCAACAGGATGTGTTTATGGATATTAGCCAGGCCGAATTATACATTGAAGCCAAATTTCTGGAAGAAGTATCGGCAGCTGTGAAAACAGGAAAATGTTCCTTGACAAATAACGTTGGAGCATTTCTATTTGAATCGATAACGTATGAATTGAATGGAAAAGTAATCGATAAAGTGTCACGAGATCCAGGGCTTATAAGTACCGTTAAAAAGTCTTTTTGTGTCTCAATCAAAATGAAAGTACTGCCCTTGATGTGGCGGGATGGAATTGGCCTAGCGGTGCTGTGAAATCATATGAGCCACAAACGGATAATTTCAGTCTCCTAATACCATTGAATTTCCTATTGAACGCCTTCTCCGATTATACTAGTGCTATTATGGGAACGCAGAAATTAAAGCTTGTACGTGCCAAAAAGGATGATAATTGTTATGTTAATTCAGAGGGAAACAAGAAAGCAGACATCACCATTTTGAATATCGAGTTAAGAGTAAAACATATCTACCCAAACGATTCTGTGAAATTAAAATTGTTTGAAGCAATTTCCAAGGACAAACCGATATTTATTGGATTTAGGAAATGGGAAATTCATGAACTACCTGCACTACGACAAGCGAGAAAAGATGTATGGACAGTGAAGGCAGCATCTGAACGAGCGAGATATGTTATTGTATTCTTCCAAGAAGATCGAAAAGATAACTATAAAGCTAATGGCACATATTTCGATAATTTGAAAATTACAGATGTCAAGCTTTATCTAAATTCCGAGGCCTACCCATATGAATCCCTAAATTTAAATTTTAACACTAGACAGTTTACTAAAGCCTATTCTATGTATACGGATTTTCAAAAATCGTATTTGGGAAAGATCAATAGCGAGCCTTTGCTAGATTTTACCGCCTTTGCCAGTCATGCCCTATTTGTAATCGATTGTTCAAAACAAAACGAGGCTTTGAAAAGTAATGTGATAGATGTAAAGCTAGAATTTGAGAGTTCGGAAAATTTCCCCGAAAACACCCGAGCATTTTGTATCATCATATACGATCGAGTCATGGAATATTTACCTTTATCAGGACATGTTAGAACGCTAATTTAATCAGTTGCTGCAAGACATTGATACGATGAAGTTCGTTGTTATAGACGTACAAGGATTTTCCATCCCCGAATTTGAGGTTAAGGAATTATCCATATACGATGGAAAAGAAATGAAAACCTATACGTCTAAACCAAAGATTTGTTACAACCATCTGCCGATACACCATAAGAAGACGATAAATTATATATTTCACAATGTTCATGGAATCCCTTATAATTCAGGGTATTTACCCTATAAGGCGATGTATAACATAATACAGGAGGAATTGGAAGGTGTCGATATGGTTTTCGTTAAAGGATATATTAAAAAGGAATTTCTGCTGTGCACATACAACGAAATGAATCTTGATCCACCCTGTATAGTGAACTTGAATTTACTTCTGACCTGTACCGAAAAATTAGAACAATCATACAGTAATTGTAATTATCATAGACTAGAAATATGTTCTTGTACTGTAAATAATGCTCATATATTATATGATTATATTATAAACCTGTTAACTCAATAAATTTAAATCTATTAATATCCAGTATTTTTTTTACTTATTAGCTCATTTTACTGTAAACCGTTGTCTTGTTCACATCGCTCTCATCATCAAATCGTTATGGATAAATCAAGTGTATTAGAACCAATAAATGTAGCATTAAACATTTCCGAGAACTTGGCAGAAAAGCAAATTGTTTTCCAAAGTACAAACAAGAAGAAGAAGATTCAAATGTCATATGAAGGTTTTTCAACGTTTCTGGACTTTGTTGATGAAAACGTTAATAGTGGTTGGTGTGATAAATCTATAGAAATTGATGGACATTTAAACATAACTTATGCTTTTGAAGAAGAAGTGAAAGTGCTGATAATTCAAGATAGGAAATGGAAAACTTATATTGATTGGGAAGATGATTGTATATTGTTATTTAAATACTGTTTACCTATTTTTTATAATTTACTAGATGAGAGAAATGTGGAAAATAAATACACAGTGAAATGAAAAAATTGTTTTATTTATATATACCTGCCGATGCGGTGCCAAATACAACAAATAATACAGTAGTGTTAACTCCAGCAGTGCCAAACCCAGCAGGGGAGACCTTCGCAGCGCCATCGACAATGCAAGGAGAAGTACCCTCCACAATTTCTACATCTATTAAAAGAAAGCAAGATCCCCAATTGTTCGAAAACCCCGAGCAAAAAGGATGAAGAAGGTTGGTGGAAAGTTGGAAAAGTTGCTAGTTGCCAACCCTGGTACTTTCGAATCGGAGCGACTAACTGCGAGGAAGAGTCGATTCAAGAAGTAAGGTATACAACCACAATCGCCAAATATAATTATTGTATCGTTTTCAGATAGTCTGCTCAGTATTCAGCAAAACTCATACAAAAAGAAAAATGGAGTCCCAAAACATCTGCAGTGGTTTTAGTGAGGATGGGTTCCCTAATATTAGCATGGGAGATTCCTGCCCCCAATTAACAATACACAAGAGGGAACTACAGAGGAAAGGTACCACCGGCATCCTATTTTAAGCACTATATCTTTAATAGAAAGATGCAATGGCGTATTGAAGCTTAGGTTTCGTTGCTTACTCAAGCACCGAGTTTTACGTTATTTAACAGCTTCCAAAATTATTAACAGTTGTGTTAGTCCGGGACATACATTGCGTTTTAGCGGGAGCGTTTTAGCGGGACCCGTTCGGCGGGACAGATACAACACATTGTTTTAAATGGGGCCGTCTATATACCTGCCGTTGTGCCGCCCCAATCGGATGCGAGCGCACCATGCTGCCGCCAAACGGGACGGCCGGACCGCGGGATACGATAGACAACACACGCATTTGAACAAGAGCGTTTATATTGTGCGGTTCTGCGGCGCAATTTGTTGTAGCTATTTGTATTTTTATGCAATATGTTTGATACGGATAAGTTCATACAGTGCGTGCAGGAGTATTCAGCTATATGGGAGAAGGCGTCGAAAGAGTATAGTGACAGGAATGAAAAGGAAAAGAGCTGGCGGAGTGTCGGTGAAGTAATGTTCGATATGTGGGAAGCAATGGCAGAGGCCGAAAAGCAGGAACAAGGTAAGAAAACGATACACACTATATGTAGGTATATTTTAGGTTCATTTATATTGACAATTAATTAAAATATTCATTCAAAACATATGATGGCTTTGGAAAGCCACGGCCCCTGCTTCCAAAAAATAGTCAGCGAAAAATTCTCTCACGATAGATCCTCGTTCCCGTATACCCGGTCCAAAGTTATTAACCTCCGGAAAAGGATGAGTTTCAGTTTCTTCATAATTAATTCCATCTCTTCTGCGTACGAAATTATGTAATGTGCAACATGCCTACAATGTCATCAGTAAAATCCTGTTGCACAAGAATGGGAGTATGAAACACTCTCCATTTATTTGCAAGAACACCAAATGCGCATTCTACAGAACGTCTACATCTTGAGAGTCTGTAGTTGAAAACTCTTCTGCGAGGATCCAATTGACGAAAAGGAAATGGGCGCAAAAGATTCGTATGAATTTTGAAGGCCTCATCTCCGACAAAAACAAAATTGTTGGTTGTGGTTCAGTGTCTGTATTTGGTAGGCATCTAGGTACAGGCAAGTTTAATTGGTTAGAATATAACTTTCTGCCTAATGGGCTATTGCGAAATACAGTTGAATCGCCCTCTTTTCCGTAAGCTCCAACGTCTATAGCAACGAAACATAAATTTGCATCTGCCACAGCCATCAGTACAACCGAGAAGAATTTTTTGTAATTGAAAAAAATCGACCCTGACTTGTGTGGATTTGCGCATCTGATGTGTTTGCCATCAATGGCGCCTACACAATTGGGAAAATCAGTTCTCTCGTAAAATGTGTCCGCAATTTCAATCCATTTTTCCTCGGTAGGCGGAGGCATTTCACTTTCTTTCAAGCACCTCCATATAATCTGGCAAGTTTCTCGAACAATGGCCGCAATCGTACTTTTAGCTATATAAAATTCGTACTGCAAACCAGCAAAGTTGTTGCCAGTTGCTAAATATCGGAAAAGAAGCAAAATGTACCATCACATATTTTTCAATTGCAGTGAAAGAGATGAGGAATAAATGGCGCCACATTAGGGACAGCTATTCTAAATATATAAATCAAGGTGTATCAGGAGATCCGGCGCCAAAGAAAAGGAAATATGTATACGCAGATGCTCTATCTTTCCTACAGCAAACCATCGAGAAAAGAAGCTGGGTAAACCAAAATACTTTTAGAAATCTTAAATAATTTATAAATATTCTTACTTATTCAGCTACACCAGGTAGCTGTTGTACTGTGTAGGTATCATTTTAATGCGTAATTTGCGTTCGTGAACAACAGCCTGACGGTAAAGAAATTTGAACTATATTTTCCAGAACTACGGGCAGCATGCCTCGTGTGTCTGATGAGGAGGGCGAGGGCGAAGGAGATGGTGACAGTTCCCAAGAAAATCCTCCGGATATCGACAATGTGGCATCCCAACAAACTCCCCAACAATACCGGCCCAAACCGGGAAAATCGGCCAGGGGCCGTAAAACAGCGCCAGCTATGACGCCATTCCAAACGCAACTTCTTTCGTCATTGGGGACAGCAAAAAGCGTCGAAGACGATACCGACAGAGCGTTTCTGCTGTCTTTGCTGCCGGATTACCGTCAACTTAATGCGGAGGAGAAGTTGGATTTCCGGCTGCAAAGTCTGCAGTTCTTCTGTAATGTCCGCAATAAACGAAGCCAACCACACATGCCTCAACAGCCCACCACATCATATCGACAGAATATCAACTACAATACGAATCCCATTTCGCTACCACACACCAACCTCAACAATATTTGCATGCACTGAGAAACACGAACTCGTTGGGATAACAACGTCCAAGCCTCATCGCCCCCAGAATCTCAAACTCCAACGCCCCTGCCATCTCCTTCTTACTCACATTCTGCCCATTCCTCTGATTTTCTTTAATGCACAAGTTACATACTTTCTCTTTGTATTATATAGATATCTAACTTAAACTTAATAAACTATTTTCTTACCTGAGTGTAATTGTCAGTCTTTCCTCTGCAGATATCGGGTTCTTCCATGTTGTTTCTTGTTTAGTTATATATGGGCGGACAGCATTTAATAGCTCGTCAAAGGAATTAATAGACATCCGATAGTATCCAAAAAATTTCTCTTCATATTTTTTTCAGAATATCGTCTTGTTCTTTTTTCTGGCGGCTCTTCAAGCAAATCAGCGGCTTCAAGCGCGCAAACAATTTTTGATTTCGAAAATATTTTATTTCACGCTAGCGCAACACGAGCACGAATGACGCAGTTACCGTTCTACCGCAGTATGTATAGCCTCAAACTGCATTCCCGTCAAACGGGTCCCGTTTAAAACGCTCCCGCTAAAACGCAATGTATAGTCCCGGACTTATATTACATAATATGTGCATTAAAAATCATATTCCTCCGGTGAATTTCAGAGATATTGATGATGATGGTTTTATGGAAATAATGGAACATATAGTGCTAGAAAGGATGAAAATGTTTATTGGTAAGTATGTGATGGAAATAATTAAAAAGTATGAAATTGTTTAAACCTTATTCCTATTTGGTTGTTATACAAAATTTAACATTTATATTCCCTACCTATAGTTGACTCTGGTTATGCCTTGCGATCTTGAATCCTGCCCCCAATTAACAATGCACAAAAGGGAACTCCAGAGGAAAGATACCACCGGCATCATATTATAATCACTACATCTTTAATAGAAAGATGCAATGGCGTATTGAAGCTTAGGTTTCGTTGCTTACTCAAGCACCGAGTTTTACGTTATTCACCGAAAACAGCTTCCAAAATTATTAACAAGTAATCAAAAGTAAATCAAGATTTAGCTGCAGAGAGAAAATTGCAACAACTAATAATTATATATCATTTCAAATGAAATGTATTAATTATTATTATATCGTCAAATATAATAAAAATAAAACAAATAGTTATATTTTCTAATTAAGGTGCACCAGAATAAACTTTACCAGCTGAGGGATCAGCGCCAATAGATTTTTTATACATTCCATCAGTGTGCACGTCTGGCGACTTCTCTCTGGCGCTTCAGCTGTGCTAACTCCAGCAGAGTCAACCCCCGTAGTGCCATCAACAATGTAACGCGAAGTACCCTCCATAGCTTCTACATATATTAAAACAGAGAAAGATGTCAGTCCCCAAATCTTCAAAAAACAAGAGCAAAAAAAGTGAAGGGAACACACAGGGAACACCTGAAGGGAAAACGCTCCGTTTTACTATCAGTAAGTGTTCAAAGCACTTAGATTATTGGGACGCAACATTTAGTAAACTCGGCAGCTGGATATTCAAGAGTATAAATAAAGGTGGTATAATAAAATCTTCCAAGCCACCCTCTCCAATAAGATAGCGCGTCTCACTAAATGCTATTAGAGGAGTATGGATGTCACTTTTTAGCACCACCCGCATCAAGGGATACGATTATACTATTTCTCCATTCTGCGATGTCTTGCTTGGTCCATTTCAGAACCGCTGATTCCGTATATAAATTATCGACAGGTATATCGAAATTTTCTGAATTTGGGAGGTGTGAATCGTCATAATGTGATCTGTTACCAATACTGCACTGAAAATACTAATGCTTTAATGATTCCGCGCATTTGCCGTTTTCGCTTTTTTGCCAAGGGAGACTCCTTAAATCCAATAGCACTGCTTTTGTACCAAACAAAACCACTGCAATGGGGGTAAATTTACCATGCATTTGTCTTGTTGTGCCTTTCAGGCAAATGAATTACTTTCACATCAAATTTAAGAGTTTCAAATTAAAACCCATGCTTTTTTGGCAAATAGAATTTTATCAGAAAAATACTGCATTTGGGCCAAATTTTGCGTGGATTCAACTTACTCGTTTCATTGGAATTGTATGCTTTTATCTCCAATGTCAAACTATTCAGCTGAAAGCCATGGTTTTGGTAGCAAGTCGGCGCTCTTGGCATAAGTAGCCATTGTTGCCTGTATTTGCATCGTGACGCGACCAACTTTTTACGTGCTTGTTAGTATTAGTATCATCGGTCCCTTTGAACACCCAGCAAGTCGTGTACGTAGAAACAATAAGGCGTTGTTTGATTTTGTTTATGCATGATTTCCAAACCAAACCAAACCAATATTTGAATTAAAAAGTCAATTTTTAATTCAAATATATTTGCTGCAAATAATTGATATTGTTGTGTACCTACTTAATTAGGTATACATAAATAACGCCACATACACTCAAATAACACGTATTTGCAAATATATTTGAAAGAAAAATTGACCGTGTATGATTCGGGTTAAGGTGAATTTTTGTTACAAATTCCCCGTGCTTTAGTTACAAAAACCACAGTGCCTTTGTTACAAATTTGCAATGATTTTGTCGCAAATTTCCACTGTTGTTACAAATTCGAAGTGCTTTTGTCACAAATTCGCAGTGTTTTATAACAAAGTTAAAGTGCTTCTGTCGTAAATTCGCAGAGTTTTGATAATGATCTTTGAAGATTTTGGTATGAAGTCATGCAAATCGCAATACTTTCAAGATAAGGCTGTAGTCTTTGTAACCAGCGATTCTAAAGCGTTTATCCCAAATGCATCTTGAAATTACCCCAAAGTTCCTCTTTTATTTTACCATAATAATATTTCTTACGTATCTGAATTTAATTAAAGTTTCTATTTTATTGTCTATTATAATATTTCTTTACAGGTTTGAATTTAAATACTGTGAACTTAATTATTTGCTATTGTAATTAACTGATTTAATTTCTTTTTGTTAGATTTTGCGATATTTCATGTTTTAATATTTTCTTCATATTTGATTTATTTGAAGATATTGGATTCATATTTAATTTATTTAAATAAACCTCGTTATGAAATATATTCGACTTTAACTGGCTTTTACCCCATTTCCCTGGATTCTCCACTGTAGAAAAGCTACCCGTACTGGCAGAAGTGATCTCTCAAACACTATAAATTTTGGGGGTGGCGCCCGAGAGAAAAAAAGACCGACTGCTCAGCGTTAGTAATAGCTCTCTAGAAAAAAAACCGTTACAGGATTGTATACAGTTTCCTATCAGTTCGGATGATAATTAAGCTATGGTAAACAGATAAGTTATAAAGCCTAACCTTCACAAAAACTTTACAGGCGGCCCCTATACAAAACTATAAATTTTGGGGGTGGCGCCCGAGAGAAAAAAAGACCGACTGCTCAGCGTTAGTAATAGCTCTCTAGAAAAAAAACTGTTACAGGATTGTATACAGTTTCCTATCAGTTCGGATGATAATTAAGCTATGGTAAACAGATAAGTTATAAAGCCTAACCTTCACAAAAACTTTACAGGCGGCCCCTATACAAAACAGTGGCCATCTCACCCGACTTTACCCTAGTTGCTCCAAAAATACTATGCATGCACAATATGAACAAAATCCTTTGAATATGTCTGCGTATGTATAATGTGTAGATTCTTTTTCATCTTTATGCTTTGTTTCAGATCGCTTTCAGAGTTCCACAGCCCCTCCAGAGTGACCAGCGAACCAACCATAGGCCTATTCCGATCTACAAAGAATCTTCGCTCGATATGTTAATATTCCACATTGTGTTTGTAAAACTTAAATATTTACCCTATGTAGTTCTACTTCTTTTATTGTCATGAATAAATAAATGTATTATATACACAAAAATGTTTTTTATTTTCCACCCTATATCAAAAAATATAAAGCCTAAATAATTAAAAGAATTTTCAAAGCCTGAAATACCGTATAATCGAAAAAACGGCGTCCAGTTGGCTTGGAAATGAACATCGATGACATTCCCCATACTAAGCGTCGGCATTTTTGGTCTTGGGTGCCGATTTTCGTGTGTACGAAGGGTACGGTCAACACGCTTAGTAAAATAAGATGTACTGAATAGACAGAAGGCAAGTATTTTTCCAAACGCATGGAATCTACCGTCAAATTAAGTGATTATGTAATAAATACTTCGTATTTTTGCTCTCTCCGACTTACTGATTGCCATATAGCGATTCACTCCTATACATGTAAACGCCGACCCAAGGTTTCGCTTGCCAGCAGGGTATAATTTTACATGTAAAATGATAGCGATCGTCATTTCATAGCCATCTTTCATAGCCGTTGTTTTTTTATCATACGGTAGCTAAACAATATAATGCTTCGAAAATCAAAGTGAATTCAACCTGTCTAAAACCGAGGCAAACATGAAAAAAAACCGTAATAAAAATGTTTAAGTACTATGGTACCGTCAATAATATAAAATGTCAAATCACTAGTCGTACTACACAGTGTACGTACCCAGGTTGTAATTTTGAATATTAAGTTAATTGGTGGCCAATTAACCTAACCAAACTTACCGTACAACTTTGGGAAAAAAATTCTAATAAGTAAATCGACCAAGAGAAATCGCTGGAAATTATTTTCAGGTTCGAAAAATGTCCGCTAGGGGGCGTATCTGTGATAGTCAATCAGAAAACAAGATTTTTCTCAAAAATATGCAGGTGAAGAGGCATTTTAAATAATGCTGTCATAACTGTCATAATTTAAAAGATAAATAGGAAAGTTGTTATATTTAGGCTTATGGTTAATTTTAAAAAAAGAAGAAATCAATCATAAAAAACATGCAAGTAAATTTATTACTGGGTAAGTTTAATAACGTCATTTTTAGAAACATATATTTTTGGAAATTATTGTAGCAAAATAAAAACACTAAATCACCACAATACACCAAAACACTTTTACTTTTACACTGGACGCGCGTTTCGCTAACCATGTTAGCATCATCAGCAGATGATTATAAACTCAGTTTATAATCATCTGCTGATGATGCTAACATGGTTACATTGTTTGACATTTTAAATTTTATTTATTTAGATAATTTTCATATTATCGAGGCAAGTAAAGAACTTACCAATATAGTTAAATTTACCATTGGGTGGAACATTACCACATAATGCTTCCTTTTCTTGACGTCCTACAAACTTTAGATGTTTTTAACAGCCCAAGCGAAATATTCAAGTTCACACTCGAAAGGTTAATCGGGGTTAATAATTCGATCCCCCTCTTAGATGAAGTTAGTCAGGAGGCCTGAAAATAAAATCGTCTCGAAGTGATCCAGAAAAGCCCATTAGTAGTGATAGATATTATGAGCTATCATTAA